CCTCTCATGGGATGTCGCAGAGTCCATATGGCATCACATACCGGAGAAGAAAGGATCTCCTACCTGCTTCCAGGTCCGACTAGGCGGTGCAAAGGGCATGCTTGCTGTTGATGGTCGGCTTTCTGGCTCTCAAGTCAACATTCGACCTTCCATGATTAAATTTCACGGAGACATGAAAGACCTTGAGATCTGCGACATGGCGGCTAAGCCTATGGGGTTGGTCTTGAATCGACAAATGATCAAGATTCTGGAGGATATGGGAACACCAGATGAATGGTTCATCACCTTGCAAGAGGCGGCACTAACCAAGCTTCGTAGTGTCACCGCTAGCGCTCACAATTCAGAAGCCTTCATCAAAAGACAGGCAGTCGGCGACAGCATAGGCTTCTACAGGCTCTTCCGTCATTGCCATCTGCGTGATCTTGACTATAGGAAGGAGCCTTTTATTCGTTCGGTTGTCGAAGCCGTCGTTCTCAAGGAATTACGTCTTTTGAAACACAAAGCTCGCATCCCTGTTTTCAAGGGAATCACTTTGTTTGGTGTTATGGACGAGACGGGACTTCTCGAAGCTGAACAAGTTTACGTGACGTATGAACCTATAGAAGGAAGATATGCGCCCCCTCCTAATGCTGGGACGGTTTTGGTGACTCGCTCGCCAGCTTTGCATGATGGAGACATTCAATATGCACAGAACGTTATTCCTCCTGACAACCATCCGTTGGCGGAGCTCACGAACTGCATTGTGTTCAGTAGTAAGGGATATCGCGATCTACCAAGTCAGCTCAGCGGGGGTGACCTCGACGGCGACATATTTAACATCATTTGGGATACCGATGCGTATCCGGTCCGGACATTTGCGCCCGCGGATTATCCTCGTGTAAGCCCAGTCGACATCGGGCGTCCAGTGGAGCGCGACGATATGGCGCAATTCTTCCTCGATTTCATGAAAACCGATCATCTTGGGATGATCGCCACAAGGCATATGATCATGGCTGACCAGGAAGAGGAGGGAACATCCCATCCAGTCTGCAGACAGCTGGCACAATTGCACTCTACGGCGGTTGACTTCTCTAAGACGGGTATTCCAGTTCAACTTGGGGACATTCCTAAAGGGAATCCTTTTAGGCCTGACTTGTACGTTGCCAATTCTTCGCATACTTTATTTTTCGCATATTGAACGCTGACAACTGCACTAGTATGGCACCAGGCCCAATTGCACGCATCCACAATAAGTCTGAGATCGAGCTGGAGGAGTACGTTATTCAAGCCGCATACGATGAGGATAATGACCTGGAGCCGTTCCACAGGTACTACAGATCAGAAAAGATATTGGGCAAGCTCTATAGGGGTGTTGATGAACGACACATCTGGCAAAAAGACATCCAAAGCAAAGTCAAGCCCAACGAAGATGAATTTTGGAACGAGTTTTTATGGTCTATGCTTGAGCGCTGTAATGAAGTAGGAGATTTGTCTTGGGAACGTTGGCTGGACGAAGCCCGACACATTCGCCTGAGGTATGTCCAGAAACCCTAGTGCCCGAAGCTGACTGACAGTGGCTTCAGATACGAAGAGGCCGTGTTCTCGGCACGAAACAATTACTCCGAGCACCCAATCGAGCCACTGAGTGAGCTAGAAGTGTTCATTGGGTCTGTCCTGAATAAAGGGGGTGTGCAGACCCGTCGGCAGCGTGATCAATCCAACAAACTCGCCGATGAATTCGATCGCATCTCTACCTGGATTGTGGGGCAGATGCGCGAAGGACGCACATCCGATTCACCAATAACCAGTCTGTCGGATCAACTCAAACATCTGGAGTTCTGCATCGCCTGCATCCATGTCGGTGGTGAGAGCGACAAGGATCCCGCACGCCGCCGTAGGGAAGTGTATGGTGAGATTAGAAGCTTCCGTGTGGTCGCAGCGTGTGCTTTGCTATTTGAGCTCGATCTCTTTGAGAAGGGTAGAAAGCGGAAGTTTTAACATGATGCATACTTGTAACTGGTCGTGCATATGTTCGCCTGCTTATCATGTTAACATGTTTGGAAAGCTAGGATGATCATCATGAATGTTTAGATGTATTCAAGGGAATCCACTGAATTTGTATTTATTTGTTCACTACTCTGTACCACCTGCATACCATCAATCACACACACGTGGGTTCATCCTTGCATATACGAGTCAGCCCCATATCATGTAACACGCTGTCTCAAACACATAAAAAAACACCTGAGACGTTAGCCTGCATCTGGTAACAACGGCAAGCATGGATATTCTCCTACTGGATAGCCAAGAGAGCCTCAATCCGTTGGAAAGTATTTTCGGGTCCGAAAACAATCACCCTTTAGTCGCCGCACATCCAGCGGTTCATGCCCGACTTACCAGGCCATCTCGAATCTCACCTGCTCGTCTACCTAAGCCAAGAAAGCATCAAATGTTGCTACTGCTGACGTACTAAAACCCCTCCATCCATCCCATCATTATCCACCCACTCGCCGCATACATCAGATCTTAAACCCCAAACACCCATAATATACTACTTTCAAACTCATCTACATAACCATAATCACCTGTACCTCATCGCCTCAGGCCCCAAGATCCCAATCCCGATCTAATCTGATACGGTATGATGATGTGATGCGATACGATATGAGATGATATGATATAATCCCATCAGATCTATATCTGACGTCGACGCGTCACCGGCGCGTCCATCTATTGGCCTGTCAGGCAAAGTGGATTTTCGCGATTGTTCCGACTTCTCGGACGTTTGGGGGGAGGTAATTGGGTACATCCATTTGCTTGAGTTTTGGGTGGGAGTGGAACAGGTTACGGCTTGGTGATGGCTGGGTGATTCTTAGTGGTTGTGAGGTATGTTACTAGAGGGAAGGTGCGGTGATGAGTTATTTGCGAAGGCTGACATCATCTTTGTAGGGGTGTTTGCATGGTTTGGAAATGAAATGAATGTTCGATTATAAAGGACTAGTGTGTCTGTCTGATGCTTCTGTATGTATATATGCTGCCGGCTCATTATAATCATTCCATCATTAAGCGTCTAATCATATGAGACAGATATTAAGCGCTGTATATAAACCCCGAACGATATCCAAAATAATGACGAGTGTAGATGGTGCAAGTATAAAAGGAAAAAGATGACTACTTATATACCCGACTCGTATGGCCCAGCAAGACCCCGGTACTGATGTCCGTAGGGATTCACCTTGGCATACTCGTCCCACGCATCACAAGTGTTGACCAGCAAATCTTCGCTGAAGAATGTGTTGAACTCATTCTGTCGCTCGACAACCTGCTGCGCGAACCCTTCCGTTGCATGGAATCCAATGTGGCAATGAATGAGCCATACACCCGGATTGTCGGCGGGGAAGCCAATAACCATATGGCCGCCGCCACCAGTCGCGGAACTATCAGCGACCATGAGCGCAGTGTCGCGGCGGGGTGGGTTTTCCGTTTTTAGCGTGACATTCTGTGGGCTGAATTGGCCAAATCCCTGAGCAAGGAGATAGAAATCGTGTCCTGCAGTTGAGAGTTAGTGGTTTCAGATGCTATGTTCAGCCATGGGTTTACTTACCATGCAAATGAATCGGGTGAGGAACAGGAAGATCTGTCTGGACAACCAAAATGGTCCATTTATTCGCAATCGCAGCCTCTATCACTCCTTGGCTTGCTTCCCAGTCCATCTTGTCGGGATCTTCGAAGGTTTGCTGTAGGGTGGGATCCTTCCACGAGATATTAAGAGCATTGCCTCCCATTGTCCACAGATACAAGGGAACATCTCCGAATGGGCTGAAGTCCACGTCTGACTCGTGCATCTGGGCGCCACCAATATCTGCATCAAGGGCAAGCCACGGGACAAGCTCGTCTAATGAGAAATCCAGGCACTGGAAGTCGTCACCGTAATCCCACTTTGTGCTCGTGGGCTCGTTGTCATTGGAAGCACCCTTATAGTGGAGGATCCCTTTGATATTGTCTGGATTCGAATTGTCACTGCAGAAGGACTGCGGGATTGCTCGGATCCAATAATTGTCCGGAGCTTGATTTGCCGTCACGATAATATCATACCGTTGTCCCATGCCAATGGGGACATTGTTCGTTGTGAATGGTACAATAGGAACGAAATCGCTAGCGATGACGGTAAGATCGTGATTGTCGATCGAGAACTTGAAATGGGTATGCATGGCTGCATTAACAAGGCGAATCCGGTATCTCTGTCCTGGTGCAAATTCTGTCTGGAATCTACGACCAACGGTTTGGTTATCTCCGGTAACCCAGATGTTGCTCCCGTTAATAAGGCCTGTCTGAAAATGAGGCGGCCCCTGACTCTCGAGTACAGATTGGTACATCTCGTCGACTGTTTGATGTGACCAGTCATTGAGGAATACCACCCCCAAGTCGTGGTCATACTCTGCTGTCGCAGGGCCGTGAATCACAATGCCCCCAAAGACGCCTTCCCATGCCTGAAGAGAAAAGTGCGAGTGATACCAACTCGACCCGTATTGTTCGGCTCTCCAGACGTAGGTATAACTGGAGTTTGGGGGAACAGGGCACTGCGTCAACGCTGCTACTCCATCCATTTGGTTGTTGTACAGCTGTCGAATTCCGTGGAAATGGATGGCCGTACCATTGTTTTCCATGCGATTCGTAACATGAACTTTGACAGTGTCGCCCCAGTTTGCCTCAATAGTAGGGCCTGGAAATTGGCCGTTGACCAGAAGCACTGGTCTCTCGACTCCGTCAAGAGCAGCGGTCGTGTTGACGATGTCAAACCAATATTCACGCACAACATTCGTCTGTGGAACGGTTTCATAGTAATTCGTATTTACATCATATCCCTGCCATGGGGTATTGAGTGACTGCGAAGAGTTGCCTTGCATATCTCTCGGTATTGGGGCAAATTGGAAATGATGCGGAGTAGCATGTTTGATTGGACTGCAGAAAACCAGTGGGGCTAGAAGCCCAAGGAGTAGCAAAAAGATTGTCATGATGTGCCGCTAGTTCTCAGTAGCGCAAGATTGAAAGAACCAAGTGAAGGCAAGATCTACGCGGATCGCCAGCTTCTTGCCGTGTCTTTGTTCATGATGGCCCTGTGGTTTATATACACTCTGAGCCCGGTCTTGCTAGTATTTTCAATTACCTTTTTTCGCTCTTTTCAGGCCTGTAGCTGCAGGAGTCATTTGGTCCTGTTAGGCTGGGATGTTGCCTCCACGATGATCCAAGGGGGCTGTATCGCCCGGGATTGCCTTGTCCGTGAGAGTTCACCAGATGTCGGATCTACTGCACAGCCTAATGCAGATAATCCTCCAGCTGTACGAGCCCCCACCCAGATGAACCGGACGGGACATCAAATGAACGGATCAATCATGTAACGATTCAAGGTCCACCAGTGTAGCTGCACCATGTGCTTGAGATGACACATGTGAGGGAGGTAGACTGAGCCGCAACATCCGATACAGTATGATTTGCTGGGATTCGTATTGAACACCTCACACTTGGGATTGGCTTCCTTCAGGGAATGGCTATGCCTGACTATCAGCCCGATAGATTTCAAGAGCGATCAGGGATCCCATCTCAAGGCGTCTCAGCTGCCAGTCGGTTTGGTCGCATCAACAATCAACTGACCGACTAGGCTCTGTGCTTGAGGCCATCCCCACCTACTTGGAATGAGCGTTAGTTCCATTTAGCGAGTAGTGAATATAGTGACAGGTACTATAGTATCAGTCATCGCTCGGATCCCGGACAGCTCATCCCAGCAGAAGGGGCGCACATGGCGCACTCCAGAGCCAACCGATCTAGCTTACAATTCGTAAAGCCTGTCCAATCCCACACTCGAATCCCCCCAACACATGGATTGCCTGAGTGCGGTACCGATCGTGTTAGCTTGGGGCTGGCTGACCGCTAGTCGCCAAATTAGATCGTATAGCCTCCGCTCAGGCACACCCACAGGCAGCTCGACGTATCAGATCATTCCCGTCAAGCTGGTAGCCCCAATCTTCGAGCAATGAAATGTCCCAAGTTAATAAAGATAAGGCTGATAATAATTATAGTCGGATCGTCCCTCAGATGCGCACTAGACGATATCAGGCGAAACACTGTTCAAATTTGCGACAATAGCTCTGACTGTTCTCTTGTTGTTCAACTTAGGCCACCCGCCTAAGGCAAGGCTTTGCAAGTTCATTGCCTCGAATGCCTGGGTGAGTCCCCATTCCAGAAGAGGTCAGAGGGTACTCTGCAGCTCGGCTATTTTCGCATCATCCGAGCCAAGCAGCGGTGGCAGTCCAACCGCAAGCGGTAAATATTCTCCCAACTCTGTGATGCTGCAGCCACCATAAGAGACGTGGGCGGAAAAAGCAAACACGGCTCGGCCCCTCTCGGGTCTGCTCGACTTTCTTACAGATCCCACAAAAGCATCAATATCCAAGCCATGCACCTGCTTATATCCATGTTTGAAATGGTTGCGGTCAGGCGCACTGTAGTATGACACCTCAACAAGCATTATCGCTTGTGGATTGATTCTCCGGGTCTTCCGTCATTGGTCTCAGCTTCACCGATAGCAACTCACGGCATAAGACGCTGCCAGTACTTTTCGGCTCAGTGAGAAATCCACCGAAAAGCCAAATAATAATCAAACTAAATTCGTACCAAAGCTTGACTACGAGAGGTGACAATTTTTATCGGTTTTCGGAAATTGAGCCATTTATACTTGGTAACCAATAATTCGGTCAGAAAGCCGAGAGGACCCAGGTTGATTTGGCACGCGATCGCAGGCTTTGAGCAGGGAAAGCTCACAAAGGCTGTTTGAGCCCCTGGGGATGCAGAAGGACCATCTGAAGATGAACACAGGCCAGTGAGAAATCATCTCATTCAAGCTATTATGTCAGATATTTGAGCCCTGTGGCTTGGACTTAGCTCTCGTGTAATGTTCTAAATATGACAATAATCTGAAGTGAGACATACCCATCGGCCCATAAGCCGAACAAACTTGTTTCCATATCTTCGATGTGAGTTTCAAACCAGCCTGCCTGATGCTGTTCACCGCACTACCACGTGCGTTTTTCAGCCTTCAAGGGCTGTCCGACATCACAGCGCGTGCCTTAATTATGGCTCCCTATCAAACCGGCCCATGCTAGACTTAACGTCATGGGCTCCTAGTTAGCCATGCTACTTAGAGTGAACCTCTGCCGGGATATCCTTATTGCGAACATGTCCCATTGATCGGGGACATCTGCGCCCAGAAGAGAAATGGCACATGCGCGGGGCACACAGTGGGAGTCTAAGCGAAGTATATGAAGAAACCTTGATGGCGAAGACACGAGGTACCAGGTACCAGGGGTGACCCTGAACGCCCAGGTCGAGCAAGGAGTCACAGGCAAGTTTCTTCGAATCCAACAGGTTAGATCCATAAACAAATGTAATCTGGAGTTATTTTTCAAAGAAATGACACAGATATTCTCCGGTTCTTCTCCTGCTCCAACAAATTGTGTACTTTGCGATAACGATGTCAGCTAAAGCAGTCGAGAAACTCGTGCTTAATCGGTAGATACTGTGGCAGGCAATCTTCACATTGCAGCAAATGAAACATCACGAGGAAGCAAAGACTGAAGGCCGAGAAAGTACGTGAGGTGATGCCCTGCAAAAATAAAGGCAGAGGCAAATGACTTGGCTGGACTGAATTGTGATGGTGTGCTCTGATAACGTTACAGTTCGCCAACATCTACAAACGGAAGGCGCCATGCCGGGCTCGGCCGACCATCCACTCCTTCTCCACCTATACGAATATCTTTGGTTGCTCGCTAATCACGCATGGCTTTTCCTCGAAAATAGCCTCCGTGTTCTTTGTCCAATGTCCGCATGGATCCCACCGACTCCCTGGTGTTCCCCATGACTCCTGATGCCCACAATCGCATATACCTATCTTTGGTCAGAGTCTTCTCCGTCTATGAAGGAATGACTATGCCTTCTTTCGGCAGCCTGGGCTCATCAGTGAGCCAGTGAATGCGACTATCGTGGGAGGGCGCATTGATGTAGACTATACCCCATCCGCATAGTTTGGGTATGCATTACTCGTACTGGTCTCAGTCTACGTAGAACAACCGGGTGGAACACCCTGTTCGAGTGAAATTGGCCTCTGTTGCATTCGGCAGCCGAACTTCCTTCTTTGAAGAGACTGTGCTGATGACGCTTTCCAAAGGTCAGCACATTCGTCCTAGTCGGAATCAGGCGCACAGCAACACAATCATGAAGTAATCGGCAGCGCTCAGATTTCAGGGCAAGACTGCCGAGATTTGAGCATCCTCTCATGCACTTGAGTCGAAGGATATACCTGTCACAATGCCATTATACTCATGCAGTGATGCTCATAGCTTAATATCTGCTTGGGAAGGAACAGCCATGCTTCTTACTATGATTGTAAGATAAGAGATTCAGTACCTTTCAGCTGAAAAAAATACCTGAGACCAGTCACTTAAAGATGAGACTGGGCACAGCTCTAAGTTCAGTCATCACGACGAGCGGCTCGGAAAGGCTCCCGTGTCTTTACGGTCGGCATCGTGGTTCATCGGAGAATACATCTCACATGTAACCAGTAGTTTCAGTTTCTGCTGTGTTACCTGCACTATAGTATGCGCCAGGCCTGCAAGTCTACGGAGATTGGTATGGGAACTACGATCGGAGTTTGTCAACCTGCTATCCGTCGGCTGCAGGTACATCGGGCTGACGCCATCGCACGCCTCTAAGGCGCAATAGCGTCCACGTTGATATGCAAGCTGGACAATCGTCGAATGTAAGTAAATCCAGCTAGTGCTAGTATTTTATTGATTTACAAATATCCCGATCGCATGTTTGATGATACACATTGTGAGCGCACATGGATAACCACCATGATCGGGAAGCTGCGCCTCCGTGCTCTCAGTGTCGGTCGCGCAAGGTAAGCCTCCATTTGATACGTTTGCTTTTCACCCCCGCATCTATTCTTAGTCGTTAAGACAGTTTAGGTTCGCTGCGACCGTAAAAAGTACACTTGTGGGAATTGTGAGAGACTAAAGCATACATGCTCCTATGAGAGGGATAACCCATCCCCCGGGCGCCCGAGGCATGACGGTGGCCATCCCGGAAGACGTCGTGGAACTCGGGCGTGCATCTATTGCCGTCTTCAAAAAGCCCGATGTTCAGGTGAGACGCCACAGTGCAATAACTGTCACCGACGCCATCAGAAATGCCAATATCCAGCCTTTAGAGGAGCTCGCCAATTATCTCAGGATCGAGATGGAAAATTGACAGTCAAGTCTTCCACTCGCTTGGTCTCCCTGAATGAGCTGCAGCAAGGACTGTATGACGGTCGTTATGAGCGTTTTATAGTTGATCGCGCCGCTGATTTCTATCAGAGTTTACCCTGTAAAGGACGGAGCGGAGTTAGATGGAGTCCTTGATGACTATTTCTTGCACCTGTATCCCTTGCCTTCCTACAGCTTCCTTCACGAACCCTCAATTCGGCGAATGTGTGCTGCTCGAACGCTCGAGCCAAGTCTCGTGTTATCCATGTGCGCCTTGGTCAAACTAAGGTGCAGACCAGCTGGGTCTCAGCCTTCCGAAAGCGCATCATTGATTGAACTTTCGGAAAAGAGGATCTGGGACATGATCGAGACGCCTTCAATATTCAAATTGCAGGCACTCTTCTTAATCATTCAGTATCATGCCGAAGTTGGCCGGTTCGAAAGGGCCTTCATGATGGCTTCCATTGCGAGCCGCCATGTGACTGCACTCCAGCTGAAGCATGAAAGCCCACACCTCAGCTTTGTCACTCAGGAGATTCGGCGGAGAGCTGCTTGGACGATGGCACTACTAGATGGTTACTTTTCTGTAGGGCTTCCCGGTTACAGCACGATAAATTATGAAGAGATATACCAGCAATATCCGTGTCGTGAAGAGGAATTTGGCTCAACGGATCCCGATACAATACGGGGCTCTTCCACCGCTCGGGTTGAAGACAAAGCTCACCACAGCATGCTGGAGCTGATACTGCGTATTTCCAGGGTGCGCAGAGATATCATGCGCTTCACCAGGCAGTTGGCCCTGCTGGAGCAGCCTCTCAAAGAGTTGCAGGGTATTGTGCAAGGATTCCAAATGAACCTCACTCAGCTTCAGGAGAAAATAGCGTCCGTTGTGGGCTCTTCAGCCACTGGAACCATAATCCAGCCAAACTTCCGATGGGTTGTGAGATCTTTAGAGGTCCGACTCGCTTGGCGTCAGGCACACTGTGACCTGTTTCGCCTCTTCCTTCTCGGGCATCCCAATGCGGCCCCTGATGTGGTATTGCGTCCCTTGGGATCAAGCACCTATGCTAGCCAAGCCCAGGAAATATGTCAGGAACACAGTGACTGGATAGTAGAATCTATTAAGAAGGTTCGAAAGATGAATCTCCAGGTCCTCTTCTCATTCGATATCGCGAGATGCGCTTATCAGGCCGCACGCCTTAATCTCTTTCTCGCTCATATGCCAAACGTGCGGCCGCAGCTAACATCAGAATCCGCCATTTCTAATGCTGCAGAATGCCTAGCTTTCATCAAGGAAAGATTTGTATCGTCCGCTCATGCGCAGCGGATGATCTCAGACCTCAGTCTATTGATTGGAGCCTACGAGACGCGTGATGGGCATTTTGGAGCGGCGATGGCGCTTGATTCGTTACGGTTTTCTGGGGATGCAGTTGAGAAGCACAACCAACTATCGGCACACAGTCTTATTCATCAGGCTAATTTCGTGGATGATAGTTATCTCTATGAATTGTGAGATCTTCTATCTGAGCGCGTGAACGTGATACTTCAGATGAGGCGCGCTCAGACGAATCACTACCACGTGCCAGTCTCGGAGGACCTCCGCTGCGGGGGTCTTTTGCGGGGTTCCCTACGTCGCACAGAGTACTTCACTCACACAAAGCTCGCTATGTTGAAGGAGCATAATCTCAACAATTGTTCAGTCATACAGCCACCATGGTTCTTTCTAAGCCCGAGAACAAGCACGTCCTGAAGGCCTTTGACCTCACCGGCAAGGTTGCTGCCATTACAGGTACCTTCCCCGGAGAGCAACATTAGCAGCTTCTAACTGATCGCAG